CAAATATCTATGCCACCCAAATCTCAGATCTTGTCTGTAACGAGCTGCCACCTGTTGATCCCAAATCCAGTAACTTTCCTTGCAACCAATATTGATTCAAAAGAAAGTTCATTTATTGAGAATAAGTGTACAGATCCAAAGCATTGCTAAGACTGATCAAAAGCGCACCAAAGCTGTTTTTCTTACTTTCCCCCCCACATCGCCCTTAGTTCTTGGTCCTCTGATTCTCTTGCTGGTATGACCTTGAGCATGCCAGAGCTTGTGATAAGGAGCCATCTGCTTTAAACGTTTTCTCATTCCTACTTCCCCCCCACTTTTACAATGGCAGAACCACAGCATGTAAAAAACCATTTTTCAAACTAGCCATCTAATAATCTATTATAAAATCTTGCGAGGATTCTGACAATAGCATACTGATGACACTTCATCCTAAACTGATGGATGACCTCACCCAGCAACTATATGTAGCTATTTAATAGCATAAGACAGAGGCTGTAGTACCCCACACTGAAGTACCCACTGGCTTGACGGTTCTTTTCCCATACAAACTGACCAGAACTGCAGACACTACCTAAGTCAGTCCATTAAAAAATGGTTATTCTGAAGGTAGTGGTCAGTTCTCCAAGTCTCAAAGCCTTCAGCTCCTCTAAGAGTCAGGAAGTCATGCACAAAATGCCTCACCAACAGATAAAAAGAGTGAACACTTGCCCCCCCCCTTCTTCTACAGGGGCATGAGTAGGAACAATTTGGGGCGGGGGGGGGACCTGCAGGATTGCATTATCTGTGATGGGTATTTGCAGATTTACTCCTTCTATCTTGCACTTTGCAGTTCTCCAATCAATACTGTTATTAAGTGGCAATAAGGAGACTATTACAAAGTAATAGACTGAGAAACAAAACTCTCAGAGAAAATTATCAGTCATTTAGTGTACACCCAATGCATACAGCTACAACTGCACAGAGAGCAGTTATACATGCTCACATACATGCTCACATGTAACACCTGTCAGCAACTTCTTAACCAAACAGGTATTTTCTGGGGATTGTATTATGGTTGTGAGGACACCACATAAACTCAGGAAAAAAATGAAGCTGCTTTGTGGAGTTTTTGATAGATGCCACTTTTGCCCCTAAATGGTGTACAGCCCTAATATATAACAGATTACATAAGTGAACAATAATAAATTACAGATAGTCCTTGTTTAACGACTGCCTCATTTAGCAACATTTGCAGTTATGACAGTAATGAAAGAGTAACTTTGCAACCGTCCTCACATTTACGACTTTTGCAGGACTATAAAGCAAAGGAAAGCTGAAGTAAGACCATAAGCACAGTTACCAATCCTACAGAAGACAAAGATCAGTCAAA